GAGAAAACTTCACTTAAATTGGTGTAAATGATGAAAGGGATTCATAGGCTCATCAGGGAAGGCTTACTCTGACCAGGGCTCCAGCTGCGTGTCTCTGCAGGTCTCAGGGCTTTGGCCTCCCTGGTGGGTGACGTCCCTAGACTGGTAGCAGGAAGAGCAGCAGCCAAGCATCACATCTGTATGGAAACCATGGGAAAGTGACCAGTGGAGGAGTCGGCGTTGCTTCTGAGAGTCTCTCACAAGAGGAGGAAGGCTGCTCTTTCCCAGGAGCCCCCTGCACGCCTCTCTTTGCAATTCTTTGGCGTCAGTTGACGTAGGCCTGCTCAGCCCTGGAACAATCTCTGTACCAAACGGGATGCAGTAACCAGTTAGCTTCAGCTCATCAGGGCCCATTCCTGGAGCCGGAGTCAAACTCCCAGACTGCATGGGGAGAGGGAGCTTGGGGAGGGAACCTCAAGGTCACTTCAGTTCCCCTCCCCTTCCTGCTTCAGGAATGGTGAGCTGTTCTTCTCCCTGTAAATTTCCCCCAGATTCCTTTCAGGCTTCCATATATAAATTAGACACAGCCTCCTCTTCTGAGGTGCCTTTCTTCTCTATTCTCATAGCCCTCCACGCATACCTGTAACACACTGTCATTCTAGAGCTATTTTCTTCCCGGACTGCCTATCCCATGAGCCGATAAGCTCCCTTTTTTTTTTTTTATTGACGTATAGTCAGTTTCCAGTGCTGTGATTATTTCTGGCGTACAGCACAGTGATTCAGTTATACATCTATGTATTCCTTTTCATATTCTTTTTCATCATTGTCTACCACAAGGTACTGCATGTAGTTCCCGTTGCAATAAGCTCCTTAAAGGCAGACAACTTCTTAAGCATCTCAGTATCTTCTGCTTCTAGCACGGTGCCGGTTTGGCATGGAGTATGCACTTCGTAAGTGCATGTTGAGCCGGTTCCACTGAACTTCACCAGACTAATACCTGAGAAGCCTTCAAGTCTAGCTCAGTGGTCCTCAGTGTTCTCCCCATGGCTTGATGAGGCCCTTCCAGAGGCTCCTGGAGGTGAAAACTATTTTCCTCATAATCTAAAGATACTACGTGTCTTCTCCACTGAGTTGATATTTGCACCGATGCTGCAAAAGCAACAGTGGGAGAAACTGCAGGTGCCGTAACAGGCATTGATGTGGTGACACCAAACCATGCCAGCTGTCACTGCACTTGTCACCACACCCACAGTCGTTTTTGTTTTCGTTTTTGCTTTTTTAAATCTGGCTTTACTGAGGGGTATCCTAGAAGCAATGCGAATTATAAATTTACGAAATACTGACCCTTGAGCACCTGTCCTCTTAATATTCTGACAAAATGGGAAGTGTACGCACAGCACTTCTGCTACAAATGGAAGTGTGATTGTTGGAGTTGCAAGCTAAACTATCCCCCTTGGTCTTGTACCACAATTTTTGCTTGAAAAAACAAGCAAACTATATACAGACTGGGGTCCTTGGCTGCCATTATCTTGAAAATGAACAAAGTGAGCTTGGAAAGCGACCGGCAATATTTGTAGCCAGTGCTGAAGTCCAAGCTTACAAGAGAAAAAAACCTGAATATTATAAAAACTTGTCAATGCCACCGTGAGTGTGACAGCTTTCCAGCACTTAAAGACATTTCTCCTGAGACCAGCGCTGCTATTAATGAATAAGAGTTTTTGAATTTGTGTAATGAAGTGTGCCAACAGTTAGAAGAGCCAATATTTCCAAAATGACCACTGCCTAATGATTCAAAACCATGAATGATATTAAAAAAAAAGTACCTTCAATTTTCAACACAATAATGGATTTTCATAAAGGGTGTATACAATGTTCAGTGTGTGACTTCTGTTTCCACATTGCCACTCACCTTTAAGATGTTAACATTTATTGAGTTTTGATAGAGTATCAAAGAGGAATGTCCACAATTTTCTGAAGTGGCTTTGAAAATATTCCTCGCTTTTCTAACTTCATCCCTGTGTGAGGTAAGATTTACTTCATATACTTCAGCCAATATAACATGTGGTGGTGTATTCAATGCAGAAGCAGAGATGAGAATCCTGTCTCTTATTAAGCCAGCTCTTCTTTTTTTCTATTCTTTTCCTATTTTTTAAATTGAAGCACACAGTTACCATGTGTCCATTTCTGGTGTACAACACAATGTTCCAGTCATGCATATACATACATATATTCGTTTTCATATTTAAGCCGGATATTTAAAAGAGTTGCAGAAAATGTAAGACATTGTCACTCTTCTCCCTATTTCTTTTATCACAATTTTTTTCCATAAAATATATGGTTTATGTTAACCATATATTATGTTATGCAGTGGTTTCTTGTTTTCCAGTGGATTGATAAATATTTAAGATATTTTTCAGCCTGACTTCAAATATGGTAAACATTGATAGATAGAACTTACACAACCAAAAAAGCTCTTTGTGGTCCTCAGTAATTTTTAAGGATGAAAAGTGTTGCTGAGACAAGATGTTTGAGAACCTCACACGGCATCTCAACTGGGAGCTGACGCTGACATCCCAGGGAGAGTTAACTGTCTTTCCTGTGAGCGCTGCAGCACTTGGTTTGCATTTCTGTCACAACACTTCCCAGAGAGTAACATATTAGTTTGTGTGCCTGTTTTTTGTCAAGCCTGTGAGCCTAGTGCTGGAGCAGATCTGACACCTAGTACTTGATGAATGAACAGAAGAATGAATGAAGTTTCCTGGTCTCCTCCGTCTCCTCCAGCTCTGTTTCTTGTTACTGAGTTTTAATGCGTATCCCGTGGTTCCTTTGGAAGGCAGAGCTTTACTCACACACGAGAACCGCTGTGTGCTGTGTTTAGTCCCCATCTGCTTCAACCGGGAGGGGCGTTTCTAAGGTCAGGAAGGAAAAGTGGTTAAGAATCTCTGAACCATGGTGCCTTAAGGCACTTTCAGAGGTACTTTTCTTTAGTCGCTTTCCTCAGCGTTTTGGATATTCAGTGAGCCTGGAAGACGCACTGTCATCCTTACTTAAAGGTCACAGGGGAGGTCGATTGGGAGAATATGACATTTAAAGCAACTCTAGTTTATTTCCCAGGGGTCTTGAGACTAAAGATAAGGGGGCTGGTTATTGCTCTAGAGTCATGTGGAAGAGTTTGAGCTATTCTAAGACAGAGACTCTAAAGCCAAGGCATTTTCACCTTCATTTACCACCAGAGGAACAGAGCTGAAAGCTGATTTCTCTAAGCTTGCAGATTAAAGAAATCTAGTGAATAATCCGACTTTCTTCAGTCTTGACCCTGGACTACGCAGTCCTGAAGATTAGACACTTGGAGACTCAGAGCTTTGGGGATTTAAAGCACTCTGGAAGTTTCTAGATCAGGAGAGCTCTAAAAATGATGCTCTCTCTCTGTCTCCCTGGAGTAAATTACATGTCTTCTCATGGCCAGAGGTGATGGGTTTTGGGACTGTGGCTTACACCAGATCCCACCAGTTCCCCGAGGGTTTGGAGGTGAACGTCACAGCACATCTGTACTCCATGTGCAGCATACCAGCATGCTTGACACGCCTCCTGGGAACTTAATCATTTCTAGTGTACAGTGTCTTCATGTGAAGGAGCGAGAATCTCATTATACCCTGTGTGGGTTCCTCATGTGAAATGACAGATCAGTCATAACCTTCTCAAGCATCTAAAAACTGGTACCTCCAAATTGGACCAGTTTCCCAGTGGTTAAACTAGCTCAGAGATAACACCAAACCACTGGGCCTCATTCTAGCTCCTGACATACTGTTGTCTCAGTTTTAGGTACTATTCATATTTAGTCCAGTAATCTAGCCTAGGGGACATGTGTCAGAATTCCTCATGACCTCACCAATGGCCAGTGACAGTCTGTGGAAACTTGTAATCATCACAGCTTCCACTGGGACTTGATAAAGTTCTAGCCAAAACTAAAGGAAAGAAACTTGACATTTTGTTTACCTGTGAGAACTTTTTTCATGTCAGCATTGCCCAATAAATGGTAACTTGTTTTTTGAAATGATGTTAGGCTTACAGAACACTTGCAGAAATAACTCAGAGAAATGCCCATGTGCCCTGCACTCGGCCTCTCCTAATTTACGTCTTGCCCAAGTGGAATGAACAACCCAAACTAAGAAATTAGCATTGGTATGAGAATATTTTGGGGTGGTACATGACCTGTCATTTAAAAATACAACATTTAAACATATATTAGAAAATATGTATATTAAAAAATTATAGGCATATCAAATTCATAAGTATTGATTTTGTCACAAAGGTTCAGATTAAGCAAAAAGTTGATTTAAAGCAAATTTTAATTAAAAAAACATGAAAGTGACTAAGATTTTAGGTGGTTTGTGGACATGGCAAAATTAAATTACAAAAGTATCTATCGCTTGACTGAGTGACATTTGGGACTCCCTGTCAAAGTAAATGCATGACTTGAAATTTAAGCATTTACTTCCTTTTTCTTACTATCTTGGGAAACCCTCCTTGGATGCTGGCTTCCCAAGGCGGGCTTCACAGCTTCAGAGCGCCACTCCTGAGTGATTTGCATCCTCCATCCAGTAGGTTGATGATGGTCAAGCCTAGAATAATGTCCCCGCACATGTCCACAGCAAAGTTGACTTCCCTAGAATCCTCACATTACAATGTAGATTAATGATTATGGGAGTGATGATGGAAGTTAATGTTCTTCCTAAGGCTGGACATTGACAAAAACTTGGAAATGTTCACACTAAAGGGAGACTTGAGAGGGAAATGTAAATTATCCAGTTAATGGGTTTTCCCCAATATAAATGCAAAAATCGCTTTCATCTTCAGGTCGCCATGTAAATCACACTGCCGCCTGGCAGTTTTATGTTCTCCCAGGTTCTGTGCAGAGGTGATGGCTAAGAACTCAGAGGCAGGGTGGCTATTTGAGGGGTTTAGACAGCCATGAGGGCTGTGCAGAAGGCTAGGAGGACCTGCGTTGAATCTGGAAGGAGATTTGCTGACCACAACTGCCTTCTGAAGTTCAGCCTTCCTTCCTCCCTCAGGAGTCAAAATCACTTTAAATAATTTATGACTCTTGAAACTCAGCCCTCCTTTTTTATATTTCCTTCCTCCCTTCTCCCTGATTTCCCAGGCATGTTCTCACTGCTAGTGGTGAGATACAGGGCTTAAATTAAAGTCCCCCAGTTTCATTGTCTTTATAGAAGTCAGGAATTTGCTAGATTAAATAATGACCTCCAGAAAGAGCAGAAGTGCTTTTTGCTACATGGTATACTTTTTGGAAAAAAAATTTTTTTAACCAGAGTCTTTCTCAAGGAAAGTAAACTCAGTCCCATTGCCTTTCAGATGCTCTTGCGTCCCCCTATTTTAGTTTTTATATAAAATCTTAGCCAGAAGAGTGATAGTGATGTGTAAAGGAGTATTTGATGGGTAGTTGCTACGTGACAGCCTTCTGTATTTTCTTGTTTATATTTGCCTGGCTTTCCAGACCATTCCACATGAGCTGGTCTTCCAAGGTGATCCTGAGTCCTGGGGTGGTCGGTCATAACAGGAGAAGGATTCTCATTTCTAGATGTCCAGCACGTGAAGTGTAGTTAACTCAGTCCTCTATTTCTGCATTGGCTCTTATTGGTTTATTCATTTTTTATTCTTTATTTCTTTTTCTGGATTTGCTTATCATGTAACAACCGCTGGCACTACAAGCATAATTTTAAAAACAACAGCAATTCGACCACTGAGCCACGTACTGACCACCTTGCCTAGAATTTGTAAATTTGCTGGCAATGTGTAATTATTATTTTTATTGCCTCAAATAACGATTACTGCAGAATAAATATGGCCAAAGGGAGCTGTCATCAGAGCACGTCTGCATAACCATTAGAGCTGGGGTTCATGGTATAATGATGTGCAGTTTCCCGTGGCTGTTGTTACACTGGAAGGCATGGATACTGCCCGCTGGACACACAAGGGGCATCCTGTAAACTGGCTTATTTATTCATTCGAACTTGGCAGGTGGAAGCCACTACACTCATGTGCACTGTAATGTCCTGCTAACCACTGACACTGGTACAGACTGTTGGGTGATTTCAAACAGTCAAGCGAGACAGTGGAGCACAGAGCTAGGCTTTGGTTTTGCCGCCAGGTACCACTGGTGGAACACTTATGACTCATACCCAAGGAATGCGCCCTCTTCTCCACCCAAATTCAGGACCAATCAAGAGGCAGAGACAGGAGACAGGCAGTTGGATATGAAGGGATCACCTTTATTACTGAGAAAACCATGCTGGGAGACATGGCTTAGATATGGTCGAAAGGCTTGCCTAACATTCTCTTTAACTAAACTTACATTCCCAAATGTCACGCCTCCCGGGAAATAGAGCTGGCCTTGCTAAGCTCACACAGGGTGTGGAGAGCAGAGCAGAAGGTGCACTTTTCTCAGGCCTGCAGACACCAAGAACATACACGAGGAGTGGCCGGGGCTGAGCCATACCTGTCACTCGCACAGGGAGTGCACGGGCAAGACCAGCAAGGCTACCCCCAGGGTATGGAAGCGCACAGCCAAGCGAAGGGAGGTTCCCCGCCATCCCAGCTCTCACTGCGTGCCAGGTGCTGTGCTGAGTACTCCTCTGCCTCCATGACCTCAGGCAGCACAACTATCCTATGATGGAAGTGCTGTTTTACTCCGGCAAGAACTACGGCCGCCTAAGGGTGGTCTCCCCAAGATCTGTGTAGCTAGAAAGTGTGAACAAAATGCACTCTTCAGTCTACCTGACCCCAAAGCCTGTGCTCTTAATCAGAGCACTGGGAAGTCTCAGATATTTTAAACTTTGTTTTAAATTTTAAATTTTTAAATAAAAACTACATATTGATTTATAATATATGTTTTGATGTACAAAAGTATAGTTCATTTACAATGTTTCAAGTGTGCAGCAGTGATTCAGTTATAAATATATGTATATAAATATGTATTCTTTTTCAGATTTTTTTCCACTATAGGCTGTTATAAGTTATCAGATATAGTTCCCTATGCTATACAGTAGGTTCTTGTTGTTTATTTTCTATATAGTAGTGTATATCTGTTAATCCCAAATTCCAAATTTATCCCCCCATTTCCCCTTCGGTAACCATAAGTTTGTTTTCTATGTCTGTGAATCTATTTGTTTTCTAAATAAACTCCTTTATATCATTTTCTTAAGATTCCACATGTAAGTGATATCATAGGATATTTGTCTTTCTCTGTCTTACTTCACTTAGTATGATAATCTCTAGGTCCATCCACATTGCTGCAAAAGGCATTATTCATTCTTTTTATGGCTGAGTAATATTCCTGCATGTATGTAAATATATACATATAAAATATATGTATTATATATATTATATGTATATGTAATATACATATATTATATATATAAAAAAAGATACATCTTCTTTATACAATCATCTGTTGATGGATATTTAGGTTGCTTCTGTGTCTTCGCTATTGTAAATAGTGCTACTATGAACATTGGGGTGCATGTATCTTTTTGAGCTAGAGTTTTCTCTGGATATATGCCCAGGAGTGGGATTGCTGGATCAATGGTAACCCTATTTTTAGTTTAAAGAAACCTCCATACTATTCTCCATAGTGACTGCACTAATTTACATTCCCACCAACAGTGTAGGAAGGTTCCCTTTTCTTCTCACTCTCTCCAACATTTATTATTTGTAGGCTTTTTGAGGATGGCCATTCTGACTGGGGTGAGGTGATACCACATTGTTTTGATGTGCATTTCTCTAATAATTAGTGATGTTGAGCATCTTTTCACGTGCTTGTTGGCCATCTTTGGAGAAATATCTATTTAGGCCTTCTGCTCATTTTCTGATCGGGTTGTTCATTGTTTTCATATTGAGCTGTATAAACTGTATATTTTGGAAATTAATCCCCTGTTGGTCACATCATTTGCAAATATTTTCTACCATTTTGTAGGTTGTCTTTTCATTTTGTTTATGGTTTCCTTTGATGTGCAAAAGCTTTTAAGTTTAATCAAGTCCTATGTGTTTATTTTTGCTTTTATTTCCATTACTCTAGGAGATGGATCCAAAAAAATTTTGCTGTGATTTATGTCAAACAGTGTCCTACCTATGTTTTCCTCTAGGAATTTTATAGTATCTGGTCTTACATTTAGGATTTTAATCCACTTTGAGTTTATTTTTGTATATGGTGTTAGAGAGTGTTCTCATTTCATTCTTTTACATTGTAGCTGTCCAGTTTTCCCAGCAACTTATTGAAGACACTGTCTTTTTTTCATTGTATATTCTTGCCTCCTTTGTCACAGAGTAATTGACCATAGTGCATGGGTTTTTTTAAGGGCTTTCTATGCTGTTTACATCGATCTTTGTGTCAGTATTTGTGCCAATACCATGCTGTTTTGATTACTGTAGCTTTGTAGT